TAAATAGAATTGAACTGTATCATGAACACCCAGGCTTTAAACTACCATGACCAAATGTAATCTAATAAACCGTTGTGCACCAGATACCAGCTGTCACGGACAGGAAGAATCAAAAGTAAAAGGGTCGTCTCGATGGAAAGAAAATCAAAATGTCCTTATATTCAAACTTCTCACTGCGCTTTTGTTCACATTTAGGAGTTGACAGTTATTCTCCACAATAGAATAATTGAGAACTTCCTGCAGAGAAAATCCGAAAGCACCAACCACTGTCCTTGCAAAAAATGTCAGTGTTGCGCAATGAAATGTGGATCTCCTTTGATATTCCTTAGGCATCTCCTCCATCTGCTGGACACTTTAGAAACTTTCAATGAACCAAGACAGTTTGTGCTGACAACAGAGCGTGGTTTCTGGGTGCTCAGTGAGTTTATTACAGTCTATTAGTACTCGTAACCTGTAAGGGGTTGTGGACAGTTACAATTTTCCATTTATTTCGACAGGTTTTCCTAATGGGCATTTTTATTTCAGGATAGGGGTAGAACTAGAATATTGATTGTCATCTCCTTTTGATTTTCAATGCTTAACGCCCTTTCAAAAGTGAAATCTGAAGTAGATTTAAAAATAGCTTCAATTCCATAAAACAAGCTCTTCGTTTTCCAGTGATGGTTGACCTATTGAATTAATAATATAATAATAATAATAATCCTTGCATTTGATATAGTGCCTTATCGCATCCTTGAGATGTTTCAATTCACTTCACAGAATATACTGTAAAGTGAATTGACTTTATATTTTGTGGGCGAAACGCAGCAGCCAATTGCGCACAGCAGTGTCCCAAAAACAGCAGTGGATTGAACGACCACATTTTTTGGGGGGGATTATTGGCCCCAGAAAAGTGATCTGTCAATCGACTAACAACCAATTTCCATCTTACTGCTCGGTAAACAGAGGCATGTGGAGTAAGGAAACTTGCCTAACTTTTTGCCTTGCCCGAGAATCAAACCCAGGTCCTCTCAATTGCGAGTCGAGTGCTCTAACAACTGACCTACAAGACTCCACAAGGGAGTATATGTGTGTGGGGGTGGGAGGAAGCGGGGTTTTCAGGCCTTTTAATTTCCCCCCAAATCAGGAAGAAGACTTTATTTAATCTTTTGCAATGAAAACATCCAATCCACATGTTCAACCATCAGACATATGTATTTTTTCGCCCACAAATATACAGTCAATTCACTTTACCGTATATTCTGTAAAGCGCTTTGAGACGTCTAGAAGACGTGTAAAGCGCTATATCAAATGCAAGGATTATTGTTATTTCCCATCGTTTTTAGTTATGTTTGTCACTTTAGGACCCCGTTCTGTTAACTTCCACTTCCTCTCATTATCAATTTATTTTTAAAAGCTGTGTATTTCATAAAAAGCGCCAACATTGGTTGACTGCTGGACTTTTTTTCCACTGGGAAAAGTATCTTGCCAGATTTGAATACTTTTATAGCATCCAACTCCTCCTGGACACAGCTTGGATACATCTAAATCTCATATATGCAGTTTATCCCACAGCCAAGAGAAACAGAACTGATCGGAAAGGTCATCATTACTCTTTATCAAAGCATTTGACTGCCACTCCACTCTGCAACTATACACAGTGGGGGAAAAAATTAAATAAATGGAGATGGATGTTTGCAAGGACACCCAAGTATGCCTGTTATAAATAAGTAATACAGTCTTTGCGTTTGATATCATTGCTTCAAACATCTGATCCTAGCATTCCTTTTAAGATCTGTCGAAACCCGTCTGCGGTTTACAAGCTTGCCATTTTTTTTTTTTTGAACAGTTCTGAGCTATTTGAAGTCAAAATTTAAAATGGTTTCAAAGGCAAATAGCTGGTCTATTTTTATGTTGGGAAAATAAATATTGTGTGCAATTAATATCTGTACCACCAGATGATGCTAGTTTGAGTGCAGTGCCATGTCTCTCAGTGTACTTTGTGGGCAAAAAAAAACCTGAAAGAATCTTACATAACTGAAGTGTGGAATTTGTAAATATATCTGCTGTGGATGGGATTTTTTTGGCAGCTTTATTACATAATACATACATTATAAACATTTATCGTGTACTTTATTTCATGTATGTATGTTAAAAAACAGATTTTACAGTATAGCTATCAAACAAATTGTTCAAGACAGCAGGACTTGAAACCATAATGTGTGCCTATATAAATACAAACCAAAGGTATAAATAAAAAGCATGAGTGTCTATTTTTTCACGTCCCCTGAGAGTGTACTAGAAAGGCGACAATACAGGTGTGTTCTCTATTTCTTTAACACTTCTGCTGAAGTTAAATATTTTTGGAAGCATTTTAATTACTCGTGTTGCAGTTGCCATTTTAGGTGCAGTTACTATTTTGGTGTAGAGAGATAAGTATGGTATCATGCAAGTTAATTGATGTCCACATCAAAGGCTTTGACAACAGTTGTCCCATGGGTGTTACCACCTGAAACCAATCAATATCACATTTGACAGACATCCTCATATTGTTTTGGATTTCTGAGTGACTAAAACCATTCAGTACTTTTTTCCTGAAAGCTCTTCACAGAATATACTGTAAAGTGAATTAATTGTATATTTGTGGGCGAAACAAGACACACAGCAGTGTCCCACAAAGAGTCGTAGATTGAGTGACCAAATTATTATTATTGATTATCTATTTTTGAACTAATTATTACCCCCAAAAAAGTAATCCGCGAATCAACTAACAACCAGGTTCTTACTTACTGCTAGGTAAACAGAGGCGTGTAGAGTAAGGAAACCTGCCTAAGGATATTTATCCGCAGTTTGTATGGAAATTCTGATCTAACAGTGGAATGAAAGTCTTTGGAAAGTAGTCGTGCATTTTTCTAGATTTCATTGTAACCAAACAGTGTCTTTAAGACCTGAATGAAAGTAGCCTTAATTAATGCTGGATGACAGCCGCTCTTAGGAACCTCTCTTTAGCAATGATTATATGTAAAGTAAAGAGTACTTGTTGGCAGCACTCTGTTATTTTCTAAATAGAAAAATGAAAAGCGGTGCATTTGATACAAATGCTTTTTCACAAGGACTTTGAAAAAAACATAACGAGGGCAGGCTGCTTTGAACTTCACATTCTATGTGATATTTTGATTATATACACGGAAGATACTAAATTAGCATCAACAGGATATCCTTCAGACCAGCAAATTAATAGGGCCATTTTTTTCCCTACTAAATGGTTGTAAGGCCTTCCTAGTAACAGAACCTGTTCTGGGTTTCTGCCCAGGCTATTTTCTCCTGGCCAAGAATGAATTGGAATTTCAAAATACTGCGAGCATTGCATTGGTGAAGTCAAGTCCCCACCCTTTAAGAAGTGGTGTGATGTAAGGCTGGATTACTGTCCCACGTGTATTTATCTTCCTCATTAACAGAAAAACAAGATAAGTTATTGAAATACAGTTAAGGGCTGATGCTAATTGTCTTTAAAATTACAGTGCTCTGAAACAAAATGCAAAGTAAGTAGGAGTCGGTGACAATGTAATAAAACACCCAAGGAGTGTTTAAGCTCTGTCGCAATGGAACAAACATTGTGTGCCAGTGGTGACTAATGGTACATTATTTGTAGCTCAGTAAGTACAGGGACCTCTCATGGCGGTTCAGTCAGGTGGGTCCAAAGCCTCATTGACCGTGTTATAAGCAAGGTGTGGAAAAATATCTGACTTCCAAGTTGTCAGGTCGCCACTGATGTTAAGCAGCTTGGGACGTCCTCTCAACCTGAAAGGTGCTATATATATATATATATATATGTTAATTTGTATTTTATTTCACTTCCCGTATTGCAATGTTGTGTGTTGCAATAGACAAAATAGTCACTACACTTTGCAGCTGAAAAATCCTGTGTAGCACTTTGAAGGGGCTGGGGGGGGGGTCAGACATGATAAAGGCAGCTATATGAGGATTATCACGATTGGTGGAGGGGAATGTAGCCAGGGTTGCCGGAAATTAAAATATGTTTGTCGACCAAAGTCGACTAAATACTAGCCCCAAAGTTAAATAAATAAATAAATAATCCTTGCATTTGGTATATCTAGTGCCTCGTCACGTTGTCGCGACGTCTCAAAGCGCGTCCCAGATTATACTGTAAAGTGTAGTGACTGTGTATTTTGCAGCCCAATGTGATGTGCTCTCCCCTTTCCCCCCCCTCCCCACACCCACCAGCTCGGCATCATCATCATCATCATAATAATAATAATCCTTGCATTTGATATAGCGCTTTTCACGGTGGGAGGACGTCCCAAAGCGCTTCACAGAACACACTGTAAAGTGAATTGACTGTATATTTGTGGGCGAACGCGGCAGCCAATTGCGCACAGCAATGTCCCACAAACAGTCGTGGATTGAAAATGACCAATTTATTATTGTTTTTGGTTTTGGAGGGATTATTATTAGGCTCTGTGTGGAGTAAGGAAACTTGCCCGAGGTTTCGCCCTCTGCCTGGAATTGAACTCAGGTCTCGCTCGCAAAGCGAGTGCTCTAACCCTGAGCTACAGCAACTCCTAGAATCTTACATACTCCGCAATTGTCAAAAGCGCTCTGGTCAGTGTTTCTGTCGCCCAGAAAACTCTTATGATCTTATTGCAAGGACTGTGCTTGTGAGTGAGTGAGTGAGTGAGAGTCAGTCAGTGAGTCAGTGAATGAGAGTCAGTGAGTGAGGGTCGGATGCTGGATTGACACGTGCAGTGGCGGAGAGCGGCCGCAGGGGGGGGGGTCGGAGCTGGCGCTGCAGCGGGAGTCGGAAGGTGTGGGAGCTGCAGGAAGTTGCCTCTCTCCGACTGCTGAGCTGAGCTGAGGGAGTGTGTGTGCGTGTGTGCGGGTGCGGTTGACTGAACCGAAACTGGCAGCTTTGTGGGGGAGAAGTTGGTTAAGTAAATAAGAACAACAGTAATAAAGAAGAGGAAGAGCAGAGGAGGAGGTGTGAGTGAGTGAGTGTCGGTCGGTGGGTGGGGGGCGGGAAAGGCGATGGAGTTCCAGGTGCTGCTGAACGACGTGTCGCGCCAACTGACGTCGGACAACCTGGAGGCCATGAAGTTCCTGTGCCAGAGGGTGATCAGCAAGAGCAAGCGGGAGGCCATCACGGACGGCCTGGGCCTGCTCGAGACCCTGCAGGAGCTGGACCTGCTGGCGCAGGACGACACCGCCTACCTGTGCCGGCTGCTGGGCGACGTCAAGCGGCTGGACCTGCGGAAGAGGGTGCAGGCGTTCGCCGGGCCCGAGAGGGAGCGGCTGAACAGCCCCGTCTGCGAGACCGGAGGCCACACAGGTCCGGTCCGGTCCGGCAGCAGTGATAATACTCATAGCCCTGGCGTTTGGTATACAGCGCTTTTCACGTCGGGAGGACGTCCCAAAGCGCTTCACAGAACACACTGTAAAGTGAATTGACTGTATATTTGTGGGCGAACGCGGCGGCCAATTGCGCACAGCAATGTCCCACAAACAGTCGTGGATTGAAAATGACCAATTTATTATTGTTTTTGTTTTGGAGGATTATTATTAGGCTCTGTGTGGAGTAAGGAAACTTGCCCAAGGTTTCGCCCTCTGCCTGGAATTGAACTCAGGTCTCTCACTTGCAAAGCGAGTGCTCTAACCACTGAGCTACAGGACTCCCAACAACAACAACAACAACTACTACTACTACTTGCTCTTAATATTATTGTTATAATAATAATACGATGACGATAATAATCTTCGCCTCTGGTACATGGGAGGAGGGGAATTTCCAATGGCTGTTTGTCCACAGAATACGCGGTCGATTCGCTTTAGAATCAGTACATTCTGTGAAACGCTTCGAGGCGTCTCGGCGGACGCGATAAGGTGCTACGCCGAGCGCGAGGACATTAGCATTTGGTATTATTTTGGCGGGTAAAATCGATCCGTGGGAGATGGCGATGCAGAGTTTGGTGGGGAGGTGGGCAGCGGAGATTTGAATTAAGTTGAGGCTTATGGGGCGAGAACTGGAGAGACCAGCGAGATGTGGGTTTCAAATGCCCACGCAAGAAGGCATAAGGGAACGGGTGTGAGAGCGGTGCAGAGGTATTTTTAATACTTTGGGACCGGACAAATGGGAAGAAATTGTGTCCCACAATCTCCCCTTCACCAGGTCCTGTAACATTTTTATGTTAAAGGGAACCATTTGCATTTGGAAATGGGGATAGTGCAAATCGCATTGAATTGCATCACTTGTCACTGGCACCTAGGTCTTCGTCCTTGCTTGAGCTAAAGGTTTTATCAAGCAAATTGTATGTGAAGTCCCTGCCGTACTGTTATTTAAACGCTTTGGAAATATGTAGATTTGGACTGTAATTGCAAAGGTGCTTAAGACTGTTGCTGAGCATGAGATTTTTATCTAATTCCTTTATTTCCTAGCAATTCCATTTTTAAAGTGTTTGCTTCTTTTCCAGGCTGTCTTGATGATGCATTTGATGTCATCTGTGATAACATTGGAAAAGACTGGAGACTATTGGCAAGAAGACTTGGCATTACTGACGTACAACTTCAGCAAATCGAATATAGATACCCGTTTAACATGCGAGAACAAGTTATGCAATGTCTGAAAGAATGGCATAAGATGAAAGGAAAAGATGCCAATATAGGCAATCTGGTGCAAACATTACGACAGTGCAAACTGAACATGGTAGCTGATAATGTTGAAGAACAAGTGAAGAAAAGTAGCTGAATTTTTCTTAATTGAAATGCCGATAAATCATAAGCCAACATTTAATTTTCTCCAAAATGCTTACTTTTATTCAAAACTCAGGAACTCTGGAATTATTACCATACGTGGTGTTGGGAAACAATGATGTGCTAGCATTTAGCTAACATATGGCAGAATTTGCAGTTTGTGTGAAAGCTGATACCTTTCTCAAAATAAGTGCCTTTTCTTATCGCATTTAGCATTGCACTTTACTGACCATGACTTGTATTTCGGGTTGGATATACTTAGGTTATTAATGATATTCAGAATTCAGTTGGATCAAGTATTGTAAGATTCTTTTGAGAACAAAAATCACTTTTCAGTTTTTCTAAAATACTTTACAATGCCTTTTGTACAAAACAAATCACTGCTCACAGTTAAAAAAAAGGTGGATTTGATATAAGATTAAATTTGTTTCACATTGATACTTTGCGGGAACATCAAAATGTATTTCATTTTGACATTATTGATACTGAAGCGAGCTTCTGCATGACTTCATTTGGGTTTAAATTGTTGTGTTTGCACTTTGCCTCTGAAGACGATGCATTCAAGGATCAAGTGATGGAACATCTTGTCATTTGTTGATAGCAAGAACGTGGGTCAGAGATAAAAAGGAAAACGGCAAAACTTTGCTTGTTATTCCGACTTCTGTCCCTTTCTCCAACAATTTAGGTTTGCTTCCTAACCCAGTTTCCAATGTGAACAATGAGTCTGTGACATGATACTGCCCTTCTTGTCCCAGTGATCGACCATTTTGTGATATTAAGGTGAACATAAAAATTGGTTAAAATAAATTATTTTGCGGTGATTCTCATTTTAAAACAAAAATCATTGTGCATGTGGTAAAGATAGGACAGCTGTCACAAGAGTAGTGTTTACAATTTACAACTCTCTCATACATATACTCACTTTATGATAATTTGTAAAGTACCAGCAGTGATTACATATCCTATACATCAGTGGTAGCCCACCTTTATGGTCGGCCAACAAAATACATTTTCTTGATTGAATATTGCTTGATTTATGTCATAGATCAAGAAATATTCAATGAAGAAAAAGCTGAAAACACACTGCCGATCAAATACAGACTACTTAGACTCGGGTGAATGTTCGGCGGAGTGCTTGAAGGATATGGGCCACGTCCTATTATACGATATATAATAGAAGGTAAAGTTGGTTCTATTGAATAAAACGCACTGGATTTAAAGTTGGAAGTTTGAATTACATTGATGTAGAATTTCTTCAATATAAACAATTATGGTCAGTTATTACGTATAGCTGAATCACATTCCTTTTATTCAATCTTCTTTCAATATAACTTAGAAAAAGCAATTTGGTATATTAAAAGCGAGGTTGCCTAGTGAAAGACTTGAAATAGCCTTACCAAGCAATCAAATTATGACGTCTTATCAAGAGCAATATGAAAATATAATGTGATTTAAATTAGATGAAAATGTTCACATGGGCATGTTCATCCGCTTTGACAACCATTCTCCATTTGAAATTCAAGAAAAATAAATTAGTAAAAATATACCATGTCTATTATTTTTGTCCAATTCATCTTTTGACAAACATTATTGTACCAATAAAAAGCCAAATGCACAAAAGTTATGTAACTGGAGAATGGACATTTCATTGCAAATACAAAAATATTTTGCATTTACACCCCCCCCCCCCCCCCCAAGGTAATAGGATTTCTACATTGGCTCATATTTGATGAAATTATGCATAAGTCAGGCAGTTGAATGCATACTGAGGGAACTATGGGGAATGTGAGGTAGTCAGATGTTGTAAAAGGAGATTTTCTAAATTGCTATGAAGTGGGTTGTGAAATGATGCAACACAATTCAACCAAGACCAACATTAGATGGCTTGTTTATGTTCAAATAAGGATATATGCCCTTGCTGTTTCCAGGCAATTCTTAACTGATTTCTCTTAATTCTTTCCATAAGGCTAGTAATTAAGCTAATCTTAAAAGCGTTTGAGAATTCTTTTATTACACACCACAATAAGGGAGCCTTTCCGAAATCAAAGAAGGCAAGTTAAATTTGCATTTCTTTTAAAGATTTTAATTTACTTCATTTGAATTCGAAATATCCAACAATTGTCCGTGTGATTTGGCAAAAAAATTGATGATTTGAAATGTACTTGGATCCGAAATGGGCATTATTTATTTTATTTATTTATAATATATATACATATATATATTTATATATCATACATTTATAAATATAAATAAATAAATAATAAATAAAGTATAAATAATACTTTATTTATAATAAAGTGACAGCTTTGTCAAACGACAATCTGGGTTCTGTTTTGAATCGCGGAAAATAATTTCAACAGCTTGTTCCCATTTAGCAGAATTCCAGCTAGGATTATGAAAAGAAATGTATGTTAGATAACGATACCATAGCACATCTAATCAAAACATGAGTAATTTTTTTTTTAACAGCTTCAGAGATCCAGTGTCTTGTATTTTAAAATGGTCACATCTGCATTAGTTATGATATAAAGTAGTAATAGCATTCTGCCCTTTATTGTACCAAGTGAAGTTGTCTCGAATGCCTCTAAAACAATACCTGTTAGGCTTAGTGAAGATTCATACCAAGCCTCACGCTGGGGACTAGAGCCAGTTTAAAAACACACACTTGGAACGTCCTCCCGACATGAAAGGCACTATACAGATACTTGCCCTCTTAATTCACAGTGTATTGAGGGAAATTAAAAAAAGTATGACTGAAATAAATTCAGCACCTTTGTTCAAATGTCACATAGAACATACTGTATTATTGCAATGTTTTGACAACTATGTACACAACGTGCTGTTCCACTGAATCTTACAGCTGGACAATATTGCCAGATTTCATCCCCGCTCTGTGGTGAGTTAGCACAATTCCTAAGGTAGAGAAGGGTGAATGAATCATTCACTCTTAATAGCCAACCAGCTAACCACATTGGGCTCACTGCTGGTCAGAGTTAAACACACCATCAAGATGAGGAGTAGCTATACGTGCAAAGTGTAGTTGAAGGGTCAATGGAAATGAGACTTCATCATCATGAGATACTGCCTCAAGGATGTAGTAGGGATGGAAAATTTAAATAAAAACATTGTTGGGTTTCTGTTTCGAATAAAATGTATTTCTGTGTTGGCTATGCTTTGTTGGGATTTTTTCAAATTTTATTTCTGGTAAAATGTTTGAGTGGAACAGCACGTTTGGATTCAGTTTAGCTTCTGCAGAAACAAATCCATTCAGCAGCATTCATTTATTTTCTGTATGTCAATTGAAATTATAAATAATTCTTGTATTTGGTATAGGTCCTTTCACATCGAGGGGATATCTCACATGATTTTACTGTTACGTGGAGTTTCTCTAATTTTTTTGGCAAACTTGCCAGTCAATTTGCACACAGCAATGTCTCACAAAGTGCAATGATGTGAATAATGTTTGTAACTTTTTCTAAACTCAAAATGTATGAAATGGAGAATGTGCTCCAACAATCTAGGAACATAGGAACGAGTAGGCAATTCAGTCCCTTGAGCCTGTTCCACCCTTCTATTAGATCATGGCTGATCTGTACCTCAACTCCAATTACTCGCCTTTGCCCCATATCCCTTGATACCCCGACCTAACAGAGATCTATCCACTTCAGTCTCGAAAATTTGAATGGGCAGAATTATTCCTGCATTCTAACTTAATGGGAAAATTCTGCCCATAATCTATTAAGAAATTACATTCACATTTGTTTTATTGGCTGTGTGCTCAGTTCCAGTGTTTTCAATATACTTACTTGCAATAATGGCGCAGTATATATCTAAACATAGGCTACAGATGGAAACTATAGGGGTCAAATCCCAGAGGAAGTCCTTCAGTTTATATCACAGAGACTAAACATGAATTGCTGGTACATTTTTCTGTCTAAATGCTCAGCATGAAAAATGCATACAGATGCCTTCAGGCTGCTGTAACTTTAATATCTGGATATGGATCATTAAAGGAAAATCTCCTGCACTGTTTCATTTTACTTTCAGATTTTCTTCATTTCCTCTAGGTTCTCAGTAAATCTTGAATCTCAGCACTCGGCTTATTTATACGTTTTATAGTTCCAGGAACAGTGCAAGGTAAAATCAAATACAACCGTGAACATTTTAAAAGTTCCCAAGTGACCCAATGCCTGACTTTGAAAAACATAGTAATCCTATAGCAATAATCCTTGCATTTGATATAACGCCTTATCAAATCATTGAGACGTCTCAAAGCATTTCACAGAATATACTGTAACGTGAATTGACTATATTTTGTGAGCGAAACACAGCAGCCAATTGCGCACAGCGGTGCCCCACAAACGGTTGTGGATTTATTTTAAGGAATTATTACCCCCGGAAAGCCAATCCACTAAGAACTGGGTACCTATTTACTGCTAGGTAAACAGACGTGTGGAGTAAGGAAACTTGCCGAAAGTTTCGCTCTGCCCGGGAATCAAACCCGGGTCCACTCGCTTGCGAGGGGAGTGCTCTAACCGCTAAACTACAGGGCTTTAGTGCAGCTCATGCAATATCTCAGAATGCAAAGGGGCGAAGTTATCATTCTCAACTCTTACAATATAATGGGTCAACTTTTTAAATACTATGGCAGAAAAAATTAGTAACTTTTTTTTTCAAACTGCCGTTTCCTAAATGAGATATTCAGATTGATTGATATGTCCTAGAAATGGTGAAAGAGGCTAGGTTCTTTGTTTAATATGGACAGTTATTTTGTACATATCTGCTTGTTTGTTGATGGTGTTTGTGTTTGAAGCAAATCTGCATGGTTCTTTAGAGTCTGCTTAATTGCATAGTTACTGCCAACGACATCATATTTTGCTGCTTAAAGGGGCAAACTCCATTCTTAAGGAACAATGGTATATTCTTTTAAATAATACTCAGGCTTATGTGACTGATCAATTATTGGCCAACAGCCTACTTCTACCCCTGTCAGTCAAATACTGACAACTCATTCATTTCCTGTTTCCAGTGGGTCACATCTCGATAGCAACACAGAATGTCATTTGCTGTGTAGTAGTATGTGTATCTGAAATGGTGGGGGAAGTTATAAGTTATTCCTAGAACCCACACTATGTTTGGCTCCTTTCCTAAGGGGATCTGTCATCGCGCCAAATCATGTTATCTTGACAGTCTATAGTGGGGAGATTGTATTCACTTTCATCAAGATTATTAGCTTCTCTGCTTTTCTTAGAATTATTATTCAGTTCTCCATTGGTAGCTCATACAATGGATCCATTCTGCTCCCAGTAATTCCAGCAGGTCATGTCCTGATGCATTAAATGTAATGCTGTCCTTTTAGGAAGAGGAACTTGCTAATCACTAGCAGAACTAAGAAAAGAATGCTGGTTTGGTGGGGTGGGGGGGGGGGGGGGGGCGGAGAGGTGAAAAATACGATCAAGAGGCAGTCTGACTGTGTAACTTGTTAAACGTTGTTATATTTGTCACTTTTAAGTATTTGTAATTCATTATTGCGATATTCCTGCTTCAGTTTTTCAGAAACAACACTTGACACAAACGTCTGCGTGACTTGTGAACCTTATTGCAGTAGTGAGCTCCTTACCCTCAATCCACGATGTTGCTCCACTCCTGTACTGTCAGTTTGTAAGAACTAAATGGATGATCTGTTCTGAAGTGAATAATCCACTGCTTTGTGAATATAGTTCAAGTGTTTCAAAGGTGAATCAATGAACTCCTTTTCTAACGGTTACCAGAGTCCAGCGTTTAACATTCGGACGAGGTCAACGAGA